CTACAGTGTAATCCTAATATGAAGTCTTACTTGTCCTTGGAGAGATTTATTCTTAGTCATCCTCCACTGGTACTCTGTGTGTCACATTTTATCTCCTGAAGTTCCTTGGAAAGCCAGGGAGGCTTCCAGGAACAATGGACAGGGAGAGACTGCATAGGAGCCCATAATACCTGGTTCCTTCCAGGCAGAAACCAGGGCCTTAGTCAAATTGCCCAACTGATCCTCAGGAAAAAAAGCAAGAAAAACTCAACCTGAAACCCCTCTGAGTTCAACTGATTTCATTTTTTATTCTTTAACAATGATCAGTGAGAAATAAAAGTACTTCAATACAAGTTTGTACAGAGCTGCCAAAGAGTTTTCAATTTGCTTGAAAAAAAATTAAATTAACATTAGAGATTGAATTATCAGCAAGGCTTAGTAGTGGTTTGTCTCTGGCACACTCTGGACCAGTACTTTTGAAATAATTTTAGCCATCATAATTTGCTATTAATTTTAATGAGGTAGCTAGTTTCAACAGGAAAATTGTTAGCAACTTCTGAGAACAGTAACATCTGAGGAAGGGCGCTGCCTGAAAGTTTTAGTTCTAAAGTTCTAAAGTAGAATGTTTTGGAAACTTATGCTTCATGGAAAATGTTTAGCAATAACAACTTGTTCAGATCTGTCTGAGCTATGACATGTTTTAGACAGAAAGAATATTATTTTTACAAAATAATACAGTATTTACTTTAAATGTTTTGAGGTAGTTTGAATTCTTGCCTTTGTTGCTTCTTAAAAGATGTGAGCAGTTATTACATAGATTAAAAATCCCCACAGAGCAGGTTTTTTCTTACATAACACCAAAACTATCAATAGATATAAACCATGATTACAGAGACACAAGAGCAGCTCAGGGATTTCAAAGCCCTTAAAGGCCTTATTAATTAATCCATCACAATATACCTAGGAGGGTTGGTCTGGTTGTTTTGCTAGAAATACCTTGCAAATCAAAGCCCAAAGGGACCTGTGGAAAGATAGTTTCATGCCCCAATATGCTAATGTACTACAAAACATAGCCGTATTTTCCTAAGGTTTTGAGGGTACACATAAAGTACTCTGCTAGGGGGACTTCTTCATTTACCACCCAACTACCATGGCCAGTATGTTCAGTTAAAAGTCACTTATTTACCAGAGGGCAAACTAATTTAGTCTTCCATAGCACTTTATTTTACCACCAATTTACTACTGTATGTTTTTTTAAGCAGGTGGGCACATTTTTAAAACAAACATCATGGATAATCTTTCTGCAA